TTTTTTTTTTCTTTTAGCAATGGCAACAAATTCTATCAATTATTGCAAAAAGAATTTTCACTTTTATTGACAATTTCTATGCAAAATAAAGTCAAACAAATATGGTAATTTTTTCTAATTGTTTAAATTTTATTTTTTTTTACTTTTTGGTAATTGGAATAAATTCTAGATGCAATGGTAGAAAAAATTATCACTTTAATTGACAATTTCAATAAGAAATGAAGTCAAACGTACACCAAACTTTAAACATTTTCCAGGTGGAAAATTATACCAATCAAACACGGTTAATTACAATTCTCAGTAAAACAATTTTTAGACAATTCAATTCCCAGTAAAACATTTTCTTTCCACTTTTGCAATCAAACGGACCCTTATAGTAAGATTGGAGTTGTGAAAAAAAAAATTGCAATCACGGTATAAAACATTTTAATTTTAACCACATTTAGCCTAAACCTTCATTTTGTTGCACACACGGTACCAAATCTTTCACAACCTCGCACATGAAGTATTTCTTTTAATTCAACCATTAATTGACCCAACCAAAAAACCCACCACCATAGCCCCATCGCCGCATGCTAGCAGCATCCACAAAAACCCCGCATCCTGCTAAGCAGCAATGCATTACAAAACACAACTCCGGTGGGAAGGGATGTTAAAAAATTTCATACGGTGGCATATAACACGGCAAGAAGGCGTAAATTTGTCTAGAAAAAGGAGAGAAAAAAAAAATGGCAGTGGGTTTTACAGCTCAATTTATTTGATTGGATCAACCAAAGAAATTGTGTAGTAGGCAGACCTCCTCAACGTCCACTCACCATCCTCCAACACGAATATGTCTCTCCTTATGCAGCCATTCATCATCCTTTTCCCTCCTACTGTCATTTTCCAAATAGTTTATATCTAGGTAATTTTTTTCGTTGAAATTGAGGATTCACCTATTTGACGGAATCCTTAATCAGTTGTCTTCTTGGACTCATTTACTTTATCAATTGCAGTTGGGAATAGGTTATTGCTAAGATAGCGACCAGTCTTCGCCCTTGCAACTGTAGTGGTACGTCCACAAAATGTATTTTGCTACCATGACTGCACTTCGTTATTCGGGTAAATAAAAGGGTTCAAACAAAGACGTGATATTATATTATAGATTTTCATTTTCTTTTTAGTTTTTTAAATAAATTTGGGTTTTCCCCGATTTATGCAGGATAGAGATCAGATCAAGACCAAACCAGCAGAAGAACCAAGAGCCATAAACTGCACATGGGCTCTCATACCCTTTTAGCCCTACTCTTTAATTTCCCTGCTCAAATATAAATGATTTCCTTTTTTCACATATAATGAATTCTTTTTTTCATATTTCTTTTAGTAGGATTTCGAAGGCACACTCGTCAAAAGCATCAATGAGTTACGTTCGGATTCTAGTAGCATGAGACACGTGAAATTTTATGTGAATCAACCAGCAATTAAATTTTTTGACCGAAACGAGTAGTAAAATAATATTGAGATTCCCACGAGAATCATAAATCAAAACTAATTTTTATTAATATTGCTAATGTTTAGACAGTAGTCAAAAGCATCGCTGACTTACTCTTTGACTTGAAAAAATATGGGACACATGAAATTCAGTGTGAATCAATATGAACCATTTTCAAGACTAAAAATCTCATCATGTGACTGATAGTAAAATAATAAATTGTGATTTTCACCATACCCTTAAATCGGAATTTTTTTTATTGATAATGAAAAAGATTTTATATAATCAGTCGAGTTTATATGTATAAAACTAAGATTTAATTTTCAAACATGCTACATGTACAATTTTTTTACATCATTATTTATATTGTGTCATGTGACAACACACTATTAAACAGTTTTTTAAAAAAAAAAAAAACACTTTTCCCGTCCACAATTTTTTTGAAAACGAAGGGGATGTCAAAATCAATAAAAGCGAATGAATGTACATTTATCATTATTGTTTAATTTTTATCACATCCACGTAGTTTTACAAATCAATATTTTTTTTTTTTTCTCTTTTCAACATTAGAAAAAAAAAATACTATATTTACACATTGGTGATGTTATTTTCTTCGGAGACTCCGATAGGTTTGACTATCAGAGTATCAGAAATGACCCAATTATTGGTTTGACTGAACACTATATGATTACGTGAATGCATGAAGAAAGTATTTTACTTCATTTTTTTAATAATCTATTAATAAATAGGAAATAAAATTGTGAAAATTACACAAAACCATAGTTTATGTATTCACATTTTCAAAATCATGATGAAAGTTTCACATTTCTAAAATGAAATATTTTATTTTAATTAATATTATTATATTTAATTACAATATACACAC